GCATAAGAGGGAAAGCAGCAGAAAACGAAAAGTGGTCAGGTATGCAACTCCGGCGGGAGTTGACCCCAAAGTTAAAAAGAAAAATGTAAATATTCCGAAAGGAAAGAATTGGATAATAAAATGGATTAAATGGGCCTTTTTTATCCTTTTCGAATTTAGCCTCATAGGATTAAGTATAGCGATTACATATGGGGTACATGTATATCTCCGAACGTATCATGTGTCCTCAGTGACATATAACATAACTCACGGAGAACCACAACAATTAGTAGGGAATTGGAATGTATCCAAAAATTAAGCTGTTATGGCCCAAAGAAGATTTTAATGAGAATATAACCACCTGCATGATAGCAACACAGATTGGATTCAAGATTTGTAGTGTAACAGGGAACAAAACTGGCTGCCTGCGCTTGCCCTGTGGAGAAAATGGATTTGACCGGATCATGGCTACACCCTCCGTGACATCATTTTCTGCAGCAGAGCAGGAGGAGAAGAATGACACGGAGTGTGGTGAGACCGGCCCATGGGCGGAGTATATGGCAGTCTTAATGGATCAGACAGGATCCACAGAGCTTGATCGATCTTGTCAGATAATATTGAGGAAAAAGAAAATCTTAAATCAAACTTCAGGTGAAGTAGAGTTGTGGGTTTACAAATATTACCTTAGAAATGATTTAGAATGGGGACACAACTTCACCACTTTCAAAGTGATAAAGATAGCAAGGTGGTGGCCTCGTAGAATCGAATTTGGGTGTTTTCAGACCAAAGACAGTAGTTTAAGTTCCTGGCAAACAGGAAATATTACGCATTGGTATAATAATCGGTATGATTTTGGCCTGTAAAAACAACAAGTGGCAGTTGACAGGAAGAAAGCTGTTAGGAGAAAGGAGAAAGGACCTGGTAGATCCAGATAAGATGGGAAGAGAGGTGTCAAGGTGGAGGGAGCATTAGCCCCCTTTCTTGTTGCTCCTGTTTAAGTGCAGGCCTCTCTGCACCGCGTGTCACTTGCTCCTTAACTGTCAGTCTGTAACTTGAGGTGAACAAATGGCTCATCAAACTCACCCTGAATCTGAGCTGATTGACGCTCTGAATCTGGAGGTATGTCAGGATTTTGTAACTATTTTATCCAGTTTGTCTTTAGGATGTTGTAGACATTTCATAACTGGTGTACACTTGTTGTGAGGATTATTGTTGTAAAACTATGCCTGCAGATAGGAATTGTAGTGTGGTTCTTCCTGCAGCTTCTGATGATTTATTTTCTCCTATAATTAAGAAGTGTTTATGCAGTAATGCAGTTACTTATTGCTTCATGGAATGAGTTATATATCTCATGTGGAACATATTTTATGTTGCTTCCAGATGGACTCGATTCGGCAGAATATCATAGAGGGATTAATCCCCTCCGCAGGTCCATCAACTGTTTTCTCTCTGAATGGCACATACTATTTGTGCACCGTGAATCGCGGGAGGGATGGATTGCCTCAGACTAAGACGATCGGGCTCCAGTGTGAACATGCTACGATGAATAAACGCTGCGTGTCTTGCAGGTTTATTCAGTACATCCAGACCAAATGGAAAAGGGATTCAAGCGGGAGACTGATCAGGAAGACGACATACTAATGTTGTCCTCCCCGGGAGTAGATGCCCTGCTTGAGCAGGCCCACGACGAGGAGCTGACAACGGCGCCCTCATCTGACGTGGCTGAAGAGGTTGTATCAGTAATGACGGCAGCTTCGACATGCGTCCCGTGTCCTGATGTGATACGTGAAATCCCTATGGTCTGTCTAAGTAGTGAGCCAGCAGGCATTCCTCCCCCTGTCCGAATTGCACCAGGGAGAGAAATGAGATGGAGGATTAAATCCCAGAAGGGGTGTTACTTTGTTTGTCAAGGCAAGATTATAGATTGCTTTCAGTTTATGAATATTTTGTCTGTAAAGACTGGATGGTTCGGCCCAGAAGTCTGTGACTCTTTTGGGACCGCACCTTTGTTGGATACGAAAAATCATGTTTTGGTTTTCAGCGCCAGCTTCCCACCTCAAATGATGGGAACGCTTCCGCGTGGAGAAGCTCCGGTGATGGATTTATCTTTATTCTTCTTGGGCGAAGATCCCACAGATGGGAGAAAGCAGTTTAAAGGTTATGTAACAACCCGCAAAGGGACCTTGTGCTTACCCGTAGCTGATGATGGCATTATGATGAGAATGAGGGTTGATGTGGAGGCCACAGTTAGGTGTCTGAGTGTTCAGCCGTTCCTGAGTGAGATGGATGCTAGATTTATGAAGGCTTGCATTGCTGCTCTATCTTTTTATGGTCCTTTGCCTCAGTTCGTCCCCATGGGGGATGTTGCAAGTCCGAGCAATCGGTCAAGGCTTAGAAACAGTGGTCAGAGACAAGGGTCACACAAGGGTCAAGAGGACAATAGTTCAGGACTTGCTGGTGAGGACAGAACTAGGCAAAGGGTCAAAAGACAGGCTGTCTTCTCTGGATCCACCCATGGACACACCCCTGGGCCCGCCCCTAACTCCACCTCTGGCGGGAAAAGAAGGACTGGCATGGAGTGAGGAAAGTCCAACTGGACCCAGAAGCTCTCAGGAATGCTGGAGGAAGATCTACAATTTGCTACCAACATGAAGATTTATGACCTGTGCTCTCATTCCAGGAGTGCAGAATGTAACTTTTGTGCCCTCATGTGAATACTGCATGTAGTGAAAATGATACCAAATGTCTTATGTAGAGCTAAAAAAGTGTATCTGGTAAATGACCCCTTGACCTAAACTGTCAGGAGAGAATGACTTGTGACTCTTACATTGTTTAGAGCAGTCTCAGGAATGATATAAAAGGATGCAGCTCAGATCAGATTGGGAGAGCTGGGGCAGACGACAAGAAGAGACAGAGCAGATTTGGAGGGGTCATCCCCCGTCCTGCTGGATGGGGGATGACAGGCAGTTTTTTGGAGAGAAGCAGAGCTAGAGGGCTTCGTTCTTGGGGAGATTCTGAGAAGACAAGAGCTAGTGTAAACTAACTCTTATTTAATCATTTTGAACTAATTCCTCCGTGGGGGATAGCAGATGTTTTTCACTTTACCCATTTTTGTATTTTGATTTTGTAATAAAACTTTTTTGAAAAAGAAACATAATCCTGATTCTTTCAGGTTTTCTCTAAAGCTTCACGTTTGGGGCCCTGGCCATAATTGCACAGAGGTAAGCATGTCGAAGATCGGTCTCTGAATTATCAGGACTTACTTTACAGTTTATAACAGAATAATATAAAGAAACCTTAAGATAAGGGAAGTTTTAACTTCCCCCTCCTTGCGAGTAACGAGTTGTCTTAAGGGCGATAAAAGCAAAATATTCGAGGTTATTTTGGCTCTGATTGCAGGTTGAAAAAGTCTCTAATCAGCTGGAAGGTTGGATTAATAAATAAATTGATAAACTTATGATAGCCTGATCAACTAGCATAAATCATTTTATAGTTACCAACCTCCCACATAAGCTGTTAGAGGCGCAATTAATTCCGGATAATCCAAACAATTGCTGAGAGGCTTGGCTTGCCTCCAGACTTCTCTCTAGTATCTTAACCAAAAGGTAACGAGTTTAAAAGAAGTGTAATACTCTGGGGCTGGCTATTCGTGCAAGTCATTTCACCTTTAAAATAAAAGGCAAGATTCTAATTAGGTAGTCCAAACCCGGGTCTGGTACGATTATACTCGTCGATACACCCCCGAACCCTGATGGATGCACCGTCTCATAAGTTCTAACGGAACTGGGTTTTAAAGGAACCGGTAAATGGGACGGGCACGCGACAGCATCAGTGTAAAACACTTACACTCTGCTTCTCCTCCAGCTTCACTGGCTGCCAGTCAACTTCAGGGTTCATTTAAAGATCCTGGTTCTGGTCTATAGGGCCTTACATGGACAAGCACCATCTTACATTGGTGACCTTCTCAGTCCCTACACCCCCAGCAGGTCCCTGAGGTCTAGTGACCAAAGCCTACTGATTGTGCAGCACCAGGCTAAAGACCAAAGGTGACAGATCATTTGCTTCTGTGGCCCCCAGACTCTGGACCTCTCTCCCCCTGAGCCTGAGATCAGTGGACTCAGAGGTCTCCTTTAAGAAGCAGCTGAAGACTCAGCTGTTCAGGCTGGCTTTGAGAACAGTCTCTCCTGCTTCCTATAGCTCTTTATTTTATTTAGGATCTGAACTAATCTTATCTATTTAAGAGCATTATAACTTGTTGTGTTTCTGCCTTGCTCTCTCTTTCACACTGGAAGCTTTTATAGAATATGGTCTGTTAATCTGTTCTATTTTGTTTTAATAAACCTTCGCCCACCTGCGTTCCAGCCTTCCTGTTTTTGATTCTCAGTGTCCATCAGCTGTGCAGCACCATTTTGTAAGTGGGTGATGCACAGAGTGCTCTGCTCTGTAAGATGAACACAACAAGCTCCTGGCTGATGGTAGTCTCTGTCTTTGTGTCCAATGATGAAGCATGTCTCCACTGTCCTATCACTAACACATGGTGTTCTGGAGACAACCTGTCCATAAACACCTCAGAAACTGAAGACATGATTCTGGACTTGAGTGAAAAACACAACAGTTACACATGTATTATATCTTTATACTGAGTATTTATTATATTATATTACACATGAGGAATATTTATTCTAAATAGAAACTTATTTTGTACTGTTTGTTGCCCATCAGAGCTCAGAGTGGAGAAAACAAGAACGTCGTCCTCTGGTGGTCTCATTAAGCATTACTTGAAGCTATTATGACTAAATCAGCACATTCCCAACACTTTTTATTTGCTTCTCAAAGCTGCAAAAATAAAAGTAACAACATCAAAAAAAAATTATCACATTCTTTATAGAAAGTAAGATTTTTTTTAGTTTGTTTGAAGTTCATAAAGAATAAAACTGGTCAGATTTAGATTAAAAAACGTCATAAAGAAAAAAGTATTTTACTTGTTTTTCGTGGCTTTTGAAGAGACCACCTAAAATAATAAAAAATACAACATATATGTGTTTATTAGTCCCATTCTGAACACACAGGTGTGTTTTATTCTTCTCCAGCAGGTGGCGCTAGTGCACCTTTACGCTGGTCACCGACCACCGGAATAAGCAGAAACCGGAAGCTGGTAGCAGAGCTAGCTTGTTGTTCTGGTGAGTGAGGAGAATATTTGAGGCTCTGCAGTAAAAATGTCTTCACTTCAGTCTCTGGGAGAGTTGATCAGCTAAAGCGACTAACTGCTGCTGCTGCAGAAATCTTCTCACCAGGCTATGGAAACTTTCTTCTCCTCCTCAACAACTTGGTGGAGTTCTTTCCAGAACCAGAGAAGATATTCTGCGGTCTTCGTGACAATCGGAGCTCCAGAATCAGGTTGTGGGTGAGAAAAGCTTTTCTCTAGACTTCCTGCCCTCTGGATCTGCTGCTGTTCCTTTGGTCTCTCTGAGAAACGCGCTCGTTTTGCTGCTTTCATCAGATTGAAGAGGTTCCCTCTATCAGACTCGCTCAGCTGAGTTGGTCATGATGCAGGATCGCTGCTCGCTCTCTGAGCCATCCTGCTCACACTCTCCGACGGAAAAGCCCCGAGTCTGAATGTGACTTTGGAGGAAAAAGCGGTTAGCTCTACTCCGTGGACTCTGGTGACCAAAGGTCCTCTTTTCCAGACTGGATCTGTCCTCAGCTGATCAGAACCAAAGCGTTGGATCTTTAATCTCTTGCGTTGTTCTGAAGCATCTTAATCAGCTCTCCTGCTTTGTTTCTATTGCAGCTGTTAGCTAAACACGGCTAAAGAAAACCTGCTACCACTTCAGGATCATCCATCAGCTGGGACTGATTCATCGTGTGTTCTTCACCACCTGGACCTGGACAGCATGGACACAGGTAGGGCTGCCACCTTTCAGATATGTAAATAAGCCTTAAACAAGGTTATCTTTACTTTATCAGAACAAGACCCAAACTTAGGAGCGAGTGTATTTCTCTGAGCGTATAACATACAGCACTGCCTGTACATGACATCATCTCTCATGTCCTCAGTGATGATATGACCAAGATGTTTAACATTCTTGGTGACACTAATCACAGAGTCTGACAGATAAAACTCTGCTCTGGACACTTCATTTGCTCGTCCTCCTCGGCCCGGCGAATCATAACCACACTTTTAGCTGCATTACACAATGTTGTGTTCTACTTCATAGTCAGAGCAGATATCTAGTAGCTGCTGTAGACCAGCGGTGCTCAGACTTAGAAGCACTAAAATCTGCATACATCAGGGGTCTCATTTATCAAACATTGCATAGAATCCTTACTAAAACCGTACTTAAACTCAGCAAAAAAAAAAGTACTTACGCCAAGCAGGTTTGTAATCTATCAAACATGGAGGACACACAGCTGCACGCAATCTCCGCTTCATAAATCAGAAACTTTCTAGAAAGTTTGTCAGCTGCTTTTTAGTCACATCCCGCCCTCACCATGCCCACTTTCTGCCATAAAAAGTCAATGCAAATTGCCTTGTGGATCTCATGCATATACATAAGCCGGCTTGTTGCAGCTCTCCGCCAATGACATGGCAACCGTAGATCAAGGCAGATCAAGGAAGTTCTATTTCACAAGCAGAAGTTGAGGTACCTGTGGGTGAGGTGGAGAAATGAAAGGAAGTGCTTCTGCAAAACAAATAAGAGAAAATCCATGGAGTGGCACAGCGTTGCTGAAGCCGTCTAGAAGAAGAAAATATCATTTCTATAGCGCCTCTCAAGATAAAAATCACGAGGCGCTTAATGCTGAGTTCTTCTGAGAGATCTGTGGCGGATATAAAAAAAATTGAACCAAACGGGAGTCGATCCCTAGAATCCCAAGTGAAAGTCATGTGTGCTAACCAGAAAGCCAAACAGGAATCTCCCTTGTCCAAGTAGCCAGGGCACATGATCAATCGGGTCACAGTGACAGGACACACACACACTGTCACAGACGCATGACGTTCTGTCTCAATCTGTCCCCCTGCTGATATTCTGCATTCCGTATTATGCGCTTCAAGCTGTGTGTGTGAGTGTGTGTGCGTGAGTGTGCGCGCATGTGTGTGTGTGCGCGCACGTGTGTGTGCGTGTGGGGGGTCTTGTTCTGTGTGACATCGAAGCAATACAAGTGATAATGCAGTATTTCATAATTGTATCCTTCTCAGCAGCAGCACTGCAGGTGCTCTCCATGTCCAAAATGTGTGTAAGCCAGGTCCTTAGTCAACTTAAAGTTGCGCACATTTTTCCACTAAGTTTTCTTTCATAAATCCCAAAGTTTGAGTGGAAAGTTTCTTACGCAGTTTTCCGACCCCATTTTGTGCGTAAGCAAGCCTGATAAATGAGGCCCCAGATGATTTATGACACCACCCGCTGCACAACCAGTCCTGCTGACCTTTAACCTCACTGATAAATCATACATGTACAGGTTAAAAAGAAGAGGGGATAGAACGCCTCCTTGTCTGACTCAATTACTGACCTTAAATGGCTCTGAGATGCTGTTACCCCATTTTATGTGTAACATTTGCTTTCCATACAATAAACCAGGATGTGTACAATGTATCTTGGAACACCTCTTTGCAGCAGCTTTATGAATAGCTGACATGTTGGGGTTGAGTTTTTGACCCAGGACACGGAGAATCAGTCTCGGACGCAGGAAATCAAAGCAAACAGGGTTTATTTAAGGAAAACTGAGGGAGAACACAACGTGTGGCGATGGTCTCGGGCTCGAGAGATTCTGGAAATGAGAGAATTAACTGGCTGCAGACTGGTAGCTGATGTGAACGGAGAGTTGTGGCTTACTGTATTGTTGGTACCCGAGGGCTGGAGGGGGAGGGAAGGAGTCAGATCTGAGGAGGTGGTGAGCTTGTAGGCAAGGTGGTGGCTTGAAGAGTCGAACGGGTTATTGTCCAGGACTTCAGGAAAGGTGAGCAGTGGGAGCGCAGGGCGGACGTGAGCTGAGGGTTAGGAACAATAATGAACAAATGATGATGAATGATGGTTGAAACAAGATAACTGAGACAATGAATGAAATGCTGGAATGAAGCACATAGAGACTGAGGAGTTCTGGTTTCTATATTTGGTCGCGATCTCCTTTAGGGCATATATACACATGTTTGTACCACGCTCAGACTCAAACCCAAACTGATTGACTGTGATTTTTAAGGCGTCATTAATTCTGTCCAGCAGAGTTCTTTCCAAGACTTTTGAGAGAGTGCTAGACAGAGCAATGGGCCTATAGGTATCCATGCTACCACCTCTCCCACCCTTGTCTTTCATCACTGGGACCAACAGAACAGCTAGCACTGAATCAGGAAAACATCCACGAACAAGAAATTATGAAATGCATATAGCAAGGAGTGGTGCTAACTACTGCTAGCATACCTTAGGTGTTCAGCAGGTATGCCAGCCAACCCAGTGGCCATAGATGAGCCTCGGTTTTGCGATGCTTCAGTCAGCAGCAGCAGCAACTAAAGCCTGGTTTATGCTTCTCCGTCAGCTCTGCAAGGGACAGACACGCACGGATTGACGGAAGCGTTTTGCTCTCATACTTCTCCGTCTCCTGGAGAGTGTTGCAAAGCAATTGTCCGGCAGGACAACAGAGGGCGTAGCGCTGTTCTGTGGTATCCTGTCATGTATCGGTCCAAGATAGTGTGTTTATATTATGTTTTTTGTGTATATAAGAGAATTTTAACACGGACATATTTGTCTCTCATTCTCCCACTTCTTCATGCGCTCCCCACCTCTAAACCCACGTTTCCTGTGATTTCGGTCCACAAATAAAACGCTTGCTGCGCATCTTTTCACTCCTCCAGTCACGGGAGAATTAAACGTTCATATTTTTAGAGTTTTTTCGCGAGGTATTCTTCAAGCTGCTCCGTGTCTGCCGCTAGTTATCCTCAGCTCTCTTTGCAATGGCGGCGCTGTAAACAACAGCGGCGTCCTGACCAATCACAAGCTTGCGTAATCCGTCTCGTTCGACGGATGTTTACAAAAGTGGGCTCGACTCCGTACGTACTTGCATGCCTGCCGGAGCCCTACGCAAGGACGGATAATGGCGTTGCGTGTCTCCGCACTGACGCAGACGGAGAAGCAAGAATCAGGCTTAACAGGGAGAGCAATGGGGGGTAATGTCCATTTTTTATATGTTGATGGTAGGGCTTAGCCTGGCAAGCCAGACTAAATAAATGTATTATTAAGTCTGGCCACGCTCCGTTGACGGCTCTCGGTTGTGGGGCGGGTTCTGCCGTTGTCTTTCAAATGATCTCCGCATTCCACTGGACAATGAATGTGACATACTCTTGTTTCACTCTGTTGCATCATCCCACCCACCAGGCATAAAGAGTGCCCTGATTGGCCCACAAAGCAGATAAAGCTCTGTGATTTGTTCACTAAGCAGATAGAGCACTATGATTGGCCCACCATTATGGACCAATCACAGCTCTTTATGTGTTTGAAACCCCTCTAGAGAGCTGTGATTGGCTAGCCAGAGTCCTGGTAGGAGCTGCGGAGGTTCCAATGGAGCGTGCCTAGACCAAACTTTGCAAAGCAAGAATTTGGTCTAGTTCACTAGGCTAAGTAGGGCTGGGAAATAAACCGAAAAATTATCGTTATCGAAATTTCTGACTCACATTGAAATCATTTTCCCTGTGTGTAATTGTTGTTACTCATGGATGTCCAATGGTCTCCTGTCAAGGCGATATGATGTACTTGAGCCAAGACCTCTTTCCTTTTTCGTTTTCATAGAGCTCGTGGATTTTCGTCATAACTGTGGATCTTGTTGGTGGCTTATAGGATGAGTCTTGAGACGAGACTTGCAAAACGTCCATGAAGCCCGGGTCTTCCACAATGCTTGCTAATGGGTCTACAATCCTTTGCAATCCATTTTGCTATTGTGTTGATCAACTTATCTGAGGTTGATTTTGTTAATGGCCTGGGAAAATCCAGCGTAGTCTGGCACAAACCACCTTCAGCACCTGACGGTCCACCAGCAAACGCATGTTTGGCGTTGACATGGTACCTCAAGCTTGAACAGCTCCGGTGAATTTGAAACTCCTTATTACAAATCAGGCAAAAAACCTTGCACTTGTTAACTGTACCATCATTATTCTTTTTATATCTGAGTCCATCCATAGGCCCACCTTGCTCCATCTCGCCTTAACTCCCTGAACACTTTCCTAACAAATGATTCGTCCCACTGCGCATGCGTCGAATGCGTTAAAAAAATTGACGTAATTAACGACCATAAACGAATTAACGTCGTTAACGCATTATTTTTGACAGCCCTAATATATATATATATATATATATATATATATATATATATATAGATATATATATATATAGATATATATACATTCAATTCAAATTCAATTCAAAAATACTTTATTAATCCCAGAGGGAAATTGATTGCTGTAGTAGCTCCGAATAATAATAATAATCAAGTCATCAAAGAGTTATTGTATATTACAATGGCTGTTGGCAGGAAGGATCTCCAGTAGCGGTCAGTGTTGCAGCGAAACTGAAGAAGCCTCTGACTGAAGACACTCTTCCGTTGTCGGACAGTCTTGTGAAGAGAATGCTCAGGGTTGTCCATCATTTTCTTGATTCTCTGGAGAATCCTTCTTTGCATTATCTCCTCCAGTGGTTCCACAGTCGTCCCCAGAACAGAACCACCCTTTTTTATTAGGCTGTTGAGCCTTTTCAGGTCCCTGCTTCTGATGCTGCTACCCCAACAGACGATGGCTGAAGAGATTACACTCTCAACAACAGACTTGTAGAAGATCTGCAGCATCTTGCTACAGACATTGAAGGACCTAAGCGTTCTCAAGAGGTGCAGTCTGCTGTGTCCCTTCTTGTAAACAGCTTCGCTGT